CTCTTATTAGTGACATTTTCTCTCCCTTTAGAAAAAACTTATTTATTGTTTCTTTTGAGACACTCTCACTTTGTCACCTTCAGTAGAGTGCTGTGGTGTCATAGCTCACAACAAACTCAAACTCCTGGGCTTAAGCAATTCTCTTGCCTTAGCCTCCCAAGTAGCTGGGTCTACAGATGCCCACCACAATGCCCAGCTATTTTTAGAGATGAGGTCTTGCTCTGGCTCAGGCTGGTCTCAAATATATGAGTGTAGGCAATCTACCCTCCTCAGCCTCCTAATTGCTGGGATTATAGCATTGAGCCACCATGCCCAGCCTTAGAAAAACATTTAATCCATTTGTATGCTGCCATTTTGTTCATGGCACAATCCCCACAAACTTGGGTTAACATGTCCCTGATTTCACTTCAGGGACAAGTTTAGCAAGAAACTTAGGTTTGTTCATTGCTCTAATTCAAACTCTAGTACTATGATGGCACACGAAAACATGCAACAATGAATGTGACTAGTAAGATGCAGCCATATGTCAACATGGTCACAGCTGTGAGACACTGATATACCAAGGTTATGAAACCTTACTGAGTTGTTTGTACAGTGCTGGCAATATAAGTGTACAGTGGTAAGTTCACAAACTTAACTGTCAGACCTCATAGAGTAAAACATTAGAAAAATTAAACATTTCCTTGTCAAAAATGGTTTTGACATGAAAAGAATAAACCCCACTACTAAACATTTTTATATTCATAGAGTGTTCATATAAACAGAAGTATTTCTAGCCATGATCTATGATTTGAAATACCTCTATAAACTCCAAGATCTGTTCAGCAGAGTGATGTCCTTCATACTCATGAATGTTGGACTGGTTGAATACCACTGTTGTTGGATAAGCCTGAATGTTATACTGTTAGGAAGGAGAATACAAATTATAGATTTATTTTGTCTATTTGTTTAAAAGTTATAACTAGCTTGGCTTTAAACAACAAGAACAAGGTTAAAACACTCATTTTTAAATTGCAGGTGTCAGAAAAATTTTCATCTAGCCAAATTTATCAAAGAAGATAGATTCTTGGTGATGAATACTGATGAATATCTGACCTTTATTTATACACTCTATTAGTTATGAAAACCATAGGCATGAAAGCATTGAGAAGTGAGCCTGGGTTATTAATACATATTTGGTCCCTTTTTACTCTTGTGAACCAAGATAAGAAGAGGCTGTAAAGAGCAGGCTTAAGTCTTTTTTAAAAACCATAAAAAATACTCTAATTTTCTAGAAGTAGATGATCAAGTACATAAAATGGCAAAAATAAAGCAATAATATGTACATGACTATATTTTAGGTTAAAGAATCATGAATTATGCCCTAAGAATGTGGTCACTTTTTATTTTATATTCAAGATATCCTACATAGTACAAAATACTTAATTTCCTCAGAATTTATATGGAAACCAATGTAGGAAGCATCTCTCTAAAGTTTTTATTTTTTAAAAAGTTACAAAGAAATCCTTCTCTGTGGATTTGCTATAGCTGAATTCTGCATCCTTAAAATTGAAAAGCACTCTTTAGCAAATTGGAATCTTTCAGATACAAAAATGTTTTCTTTTTTCTAAAATTATTGAAATTTTGCAAAAATATATAAATCTAATTAATTAGGTCAACAAAGCAATTAGAGCTAAGATTTAACACATGCTTACTGTGTGTCAGGCATAATTTTAGCACTTAACATATAGTTTCTTATTTATTCCTTACAACAAATTAGTTAAAATTATAAAACCCACTTTATAAATGAAGAAACTGAGTTAATGAGAGCTAAGTGACTTGATCAAGGAAAGCCAATTGGTGTGGTGAATCCTAACCTGTATTCGAAGTGAATCTGACACCATAGTTTCAAAACTTTATATACTGAATAAGTTGAATATTGAGATTAAAAACTAAAGGAATTCAAAGTAATAATTATATTTGTTTGGCATTTCTTTTTCAAAGTTACATATAAGATGCCCAAAACCATACAAACTGAGTTCTACCAGGGGAAAAAAAAATTACAAACCAATCTAACAGTGTTTTCAAGTTGATGATTTTGTGTTGGGTCACATACACCGCCATCCTGGCCATGTGTGGCCTGTGGGCTATACACCCATCGTCTCATAATCTGTCCCCTGTGTGACTGGATAATTTATTCATATACTTGTGATTATGAGATTTATAAATTTTCATTTGGTGGAGTAAGGTTTCTGACTTTTGTTTGCATTTTCTTGATGACTAGTGAAATCAAAATTTTCATGTTTACTGGATTTCCTTTTACATAAAATATCTATAACTTCTCTTTTTCTATTAAATTTTTCAAAATTTGCCTTAACAGTATAGCATCTACAGCCTAGAACTAGTCTCAAGCAATCCTCCCACCTCAGCCTAATGAAGTGGGACTACAGCTTATTTCTATTATGTTCTAAAAACACAGGATTTTTTGTTTCCCTTTTCTCATTTCTCTATCTCTTCCATCTTTTTTTTTTTTTTTTTTACATTTTGGTTTTTGAGTTTAGTAAAACATTCAGAGAAGTAGAGAGAAAATAAACCCTCATGTAGCTTCAACAGTCACCCACTCATGGCTGCTTTTATTTCATCTATTATACTCCTACCTCAAAGACTATTCCATATATCATATGCAATTTTTAAGCAAATTCCATATGATATATCATTTCATCTATAACTATCTCAAAATTTTTAAAATGTAAGAACTTTCTCCTTAGTATAACCACACTATTTGCACATCTATAATTTAACAATTATAGATGACTTAACAATGACTTCCTTGAAATCATTACATATCTGGTTAGTATTCTTATTTCATTTTACTCAATTACCTTTTTTGGTATTTGGTTTATTTCAACTATATTCAAAGAAGGCCTAAACATGGCATTTGACGGATGTCTTTTAAATTTCTTCAATCTCTCCTTCTCTGTCCCCACAATGTATTTGTCTAATAAACTGGGTGTTTGTCCTGTGTAATGCTCCACAAACTGGGACTTGTAGTGTGCATGCCCATGGTGTCAAGTAACACGTTCTTCTGTCATTGGATTTCCAAACAGTAATGAATCTGGAGGCTTGACCTATTTTAAGATTTTTTTTTTTTTGCTAAGAATATGTTATCAGTGGTATATACTTTCATTAAAAGGTACATAATTTCTACTTCTTCCTGAAACTGAGAAGTAAACATTTTCTGTTGGGGTTATGGCCCACGGACCCTGACCTGGATTGAGAGTGACAAGGAAAACATCTCTGGGGAAATGACAATAATTTACACAGGCTTAAGACATAGAGTCTGAGACTGCCTGGAGAAAGGTGTACATTGTCCTATCCCAAGTGGCAGACTAGGACAGTGCAGCAATTCTCTGGCTTCTTCAGAAGGCTTTTATTAATTTCTAACACAAAATGTATATACAAAATGTAAAGATGCCAAAAGATAGGGTCAAAAGAATCCCAAGTCCCCAGGAAGATTGGTTAAAGAGAAAGCAAGCCAGGTTCCCTAATCTAAACTGTGGATCAGGAGTTCAAAGGATTCAGCTCGGCTGAAGGGCTCAGTCCTGCCCCATCTGTTGATTGTTGGTGCACAAGAAGAGCTGCAATGACTTTGCCTTGTTCTGGGGTTCTGGGCTCTTGTCATCTTTGGTGGTCCTGATGAGCCCCCAGGGATAGCGAATCTGTACCCGTTCCCATAGATTCTCCTAGATTGAGGTGGGGCATCTCACTGAGAAGTCAACCTATCTACCTCCCACATTTACTACATTCTACCAATAGATCATCAGGTTTTAATCTAATCATGTTTCGATATCATTCTGTGGACATTACTTGTTTAAATAATTTGTTACTATAAATGGAAGATATATATTTGAAAAAGCTATTTTATTAAGATGAGATAGCCAAAATATCTGTATTTTACAAGAAAATCAGAATAAATTGTTTATACTTTGACTTACCATGTTACAGAGTCCCTCATGAATTGTACAATCAAGTGTACCAAACTTAAGTTGACCATAAAGAAGATTTGATGCTCTTCGTAACTCTGGTAGTAAAGCTCGACATGGTGGACACCACTAGGGAAGAAAAATACTCAAAGCACTAAGCCAAACGAAACAAACAAACCTCATCATTTTTGTAACAAGCAATACGCTAAGTCAGTCAAACTGTACTTGCTGGCAAATCCCACTGGCATATGCCTAATTCTGAGAGTGGGAACTGTATTAGCACACACTTAGAACATGTAATAGTGGCCAAAACGGAATGACATAGTTCTGGTATTAATAGTTCAAGGTTATCTAAAAAATGTCTTTTGCCATGAGAAGATAAAATCTGACAATAGTATAGTCTGACAGACAAAAATAACTTACAGGGGCAAAAAAATCAACAAGCCATGGCTCTTTTTCATTAGCAGGAAAATTCTGAGGTCCAAGTGTGGTAACATGAGAATTAACACTTTCTTTGGCGAAGGCAAGTATATCATATAGAATCTTCTTTCCTTTGAAATAGAGTAAAAAAATATTAAAATCCACATTCTGCCACTTGTATCCCCGGAAATATTTGAGTTTTTATATTCAAAATATTAAAGGAAGATGAACTTAAGGATAAACTAATTTTGATGAGGTTTTAGTGTCTGGTATATTAAATATGGGTTTGCTATGGACCCATTCCTTATATGTTCTTCTGTTTCTAGAACTAGTTAAAATCTCGATCTCTTTGAAATGTTCCTTTTTCCTAGATGTAAAATAATCACTTTTTAAGTGTTTTTTTACAATTCTTTATGTTGCCCCTAGCTATTACTATAGGCCTAATCTATAAATCTTTTTTCTTAACTTAGACCTCTTTTAAAGCCCATATTACCAATTGCCCAAGGGAAAACTGTAGTTGGATATCACATAAACATTTTAAACACAACACAGGCATATACCACATAATGATATTTTGGCCCATGATGGACTACATATATGATGGTGGTTCTGTTAAGTTTATAATGGAGCTGAAAAATTCCTATCGCCATTAAAATGTAGCACAACTCATTACTTTTTCTATGTTTAGATGCACAAATACTTACTACTGTTTGTTACAGATGAAGATAATACTCAGTACACTAACATGGTATACAGGTTTGTACCCTAGCAACAATAAGCTATACCATGTGGCCTAGGTATGCAGTAAGCTATGTATCTAGGTTGTGTAAGTACACTATGTATGATGACAAAAATCACCTAATGATACATTTCTCAGCATCCCTGTAGTTTAAATGATGCACGATTGTATATTCAAACTGAAGCTGAGTTATTTACCCTGAAACTTGTTCCTCTTCTCACTTTCCTCATCTTGGCAAGAGCATAATCATCCACTAGGTGCCTAAATATGATTCCCAGAGTGAACTCTGCCTTCTTTCTCTGCCTCCTATCATAATTCTGTTATACTGCTTACCATTTTCAACCCCATTACTACTGCCTGAATTCAGTCCAGGTTACTGCAATATACCCCAGCCTTCCTTAACTAGTCCATCTTATCACAGTCAACTTGCACATATGCTACAGTTATTCAAGTGCCAATTCATCAAGTCAAAAATATGGCCAACCCTTGTTCAGTTCCTCCAGTTCCCCTATATTTGTTGTGGGAAACTGAGTACTTCATGCTCAACGTAAATGTTACTTCCTTATGTTTACCATGTAGAAGTCTCTTTATTTGATCTTGTAATTTTTACATAATGGCCACTGAAATATTTTTTCACATTTTCTTATGGATCTTCTCACCTCCTGTCCCTAGTAAACAGTATTTTTAACCTCTTGAGAGTTCATGCTTTATAACTTATAGCTCTAAAACGTAAGGCAGTGTTTGTCACTTCACAGACATTTCATCAATCTCTGTTACTCACTTAGCTGTATTATGCTTGGTAGTTTGTGTGTCTCTTTTGCTATATTTAATCGCTTTTACGACAAGGACACTGATGTATCCCAAACTCCTGGGACTGGAACTATACTTAAATGAATGTAGAGCTGAAGTCTTCAATAAGTTGAAATGAAACGTAATTATAAATGCAAGAGGGAGTAAGGCAGTTCATGGAGAAGACTGAAAATCTAGTGGCAGAAAAATTCAAAAGAACATCTGGGTATTGGCTGAGATACCTGTAATGGCTGAGATGTTACCTGTGGCACACTATAAAGTTAACTGTAGGTGTTGCTTACTTCTGCCAACAAGCAGGACTTAAAACTCCTCACTAGCCTGACCTATCAACAGAAACACTGATCAAAAACACTGAATAAATGAGAACAAAGAGAATAAATGACTATCTGCAACTGAAAATATCATTCCTTATATTTACTAAGAGTAAAGTTATTTATAATAAGCATGTACATACAAAACAAGGTTTTAAAAAACCCAATTATAAAATTTCTATTTGAAAATGATGAATTTTTGTCATTTTTTTTCCATCCTCACCATGATGAATTTCATACTCTTTTGTTCCCTGTCCTTTAAATACTGCTAGAGATGGCTGAAAAACGTAGAGATTACTACAGATGTCGGGTGCAGAGGAACAATCAAACCTGCCAACCTACAGTAGAAAGAGAAGGTGGAATTTGATGAAAACATACATTGTTACACATTCAACTTTTAAGTATTCATAATAATCCAAAAATAACACAGCTCTTGTGACAGTTCTTAAAGAGAAAATAATGGGCTATGAAGACATAAAGTAATTCATTTACCTTTAATGCTAAAACTGAATTTAGTTAAAGAAAAATCTGTCCAAGAGAGTGCAAAAACCTCACAGGAAAACTCCCAAGAAAATATGAAGTTATTTAAGAAACCTTTTCTAAAAATGTAGAAGATATTTATATTTTTGGGGGGTAGAATCAAGTTTTCTAAGTAAAGATATCAGAAACAGAAATAATGCAGGAAAAGGATACAGAGTGAAGAACAACAGCATACAGTAAACGAAAAAAAAATCTGCAGCACTTAAGACAGGGTTTATTAAGAAACAAGATAGACAGGCTCGGCGCTTGTGGCTCAAGCGGCTAAGGCGCCAGCCACATACACCTGAGGAGGTGGCGGGTTCGAATCCAGCCCGGCCCACCAAACAACAATGATGGCTGCAACCAAAACCGGGCATTGTGGCGGGCACCTGTGGTCCCAGCTACTTGGGAGGCTGAGGCAG